AGGATTTTTAAACCACATAGCTCATATTCCCTCAACCCTACCTCCAATTTATTTCTTTAAAATTGTTATTAAAGGATTCAGCTGGCAAATTCCCTCCTTTATCTCACATTTTTCTTCATCCTACTCAGTCAAATAATATCCTCTTGTTGTAAGCTTCAGGCATTTGTAAAATGGTCCTGCAAATGCCAAGAGAACCAATTATCCCACTACTGAACCTTCAGAGAAGGAACTCTAGGCAAGAAAGTAATCTATGAAAGTACATTCCACAGTAGTATCTTAATATATATACCTCCATTTACAAGTGTGAGGAAACAATGATTTTCAAGAGTTATGTTTATAATTCTTAATGTAATTTGAATATTAAGTGAACTACTCAGCTGCTGAAAATTAGTCCACTCTTTTGTCTGCCTTCTTCTGATTTCCCAACCTCTCCTTTTATTCATCTTGGATAGATAAAAGGATGCTGGTTATGGTAGCTGTGGTTCAAAAACTATGAGGTGTGTGCTACTAGAAAAGTTGCATTCCCACAAAGGTCAGACGCTCAAGAGGATGAAGGAATTACAAAAAGTCACATTAGCTTTATCCGAAGCTCACTTTCATATTATCACTGTAGAGAGAAGAGTACTGGAAGCCAAGTTGCCATTGATCCCACTCATCTGATTCAAAAGAGGAATATGAACAGAGTCCAGATGTATTCAACACTGTGATAAACTATGCTACTGCTGCTTTCCTCCATTTTGGCTGCCAATGTTCTAGGATTCCTGTTGCTTCTGCTGATTTTCTTGCTTTGTATCATCAAGAGACTGCTGAGTTCCCAACATTCTTTCTTAATTTCTTTTCTTCAACATTCCAAGAATTCTAGTTTCTTGTTATCTCACTGGAGATCTCATACTGCAATGGACTAGATGGAAGTCAATATCCTTCAACTATTTATTCTGCAAAAGAAAAATAAATAGGTAAAATATGTTATGTATTCGATGTAATGAAAATAGGCATAAAGACATTTATAAAGTGACATTTTCCCATTCGCTTATCATCACTGTCCAGATAAATTATGGAACAAAGCACAGACATTCAAAGGTGCTTTTGCATAACTTATTAAATTCACAGATAAACTTTCACCTAGCTAGATGTTCTATTTTCTATTCTTTAGAGCTGCATTATGCTTATCCAAACTATGTGAGGAAAATATTATGGCCCTTCAAGGAAATCTTATGATAACATGCTTAAATGCCAAAAATTCCCCTCCTAGCCAAATACCCTAGTATTTCTAAAGCTTAATGCTTACAAAGCAACTGAAATGTGTTGAAAAACAAGATCTTACCTATATTCCATGGTGAAATGTTGATTTGAGAGCGTGGCTGAGTTTGGTTTGAGTATCGCGGACAATGTGGCTTATTTAACTCTGTCCCAGGTAATGTTGCTCATTTATCTGTCTCAGGCTCATTTCTCTACAGGAACATTAGTAGATAAATGTACAGCTTTGTCTTGCGTAGTAATTAAATGGAGAGGTCCATCAAAAGAATTTTAGGGAAAATAGCTGTCTTTTCAAATTACTGTAACAACTGAAAAGTTGCATGTTCCTCCAAAATATTTCGACCCTTTATTCTGATACGGAATTGACTTCAGTATTACAAATATTACAATCCAGTATCAGGTAACAGTATTAGCTAAGGGGATTTTTCCCCCCAGAAAGAGTATAACTCAAATTCTATGGTTGCAAATTAATTACATGATAATCCTTCTGGTCAAGCCCTCTTTTCAAGCTTTAGAATTGAAGTTATGGCTGTTTTTTTCTGTAGGAATGGAGGAACACAGATTTGTACTTTTTCCTTACAAAATTATAATCAAACCACCATTTACAGAGAAGCATAGAAAGGAGGCCAGTTTTTTGCAATACCTAAAGTGTCTGTTATGCTGCACTGCTTGACATTTAACACAAGATTCATAGCCTTTAGCTGGAATTGTCTGGTGATATTGCAAATATCTTTTCAATGCATCTTTTTTGAAATGTGCCTCCTTTTGGAATGCCTGTTCAGATAAATGTGTAATCCATATAATTCTGGAGGGGTCCAATGTCAGTATCTGACCACTTCTATTACCCAGGAATCATCACTGTACTCAAATTCCAAAAACAAACAATGTTCGTTTGACAGGTTCCAATATCTATGATAAGGTGGATCTTCTCAGTACACCAGAACAGAAACAGGAAACTTTAAGAAAAAGACAAAAACCCCTCATAATAATGTATATTCCTCTAATCAAATTAGCTGTGAACCACAATCACTTGTTGTTTCAGTTCTATGAGAGGGAAAACAGAGTACCACAATCTCTTGCTTAGAGAAATGACACCTAACTTACATGCAATAACTTCTATTACATGGGTGCATCCATACACAAGTCATAATAGCATGGGAACCAATATTACTAGGAACATTTATGACATCCTCATCCAAAAGTGACAAATCCCAACAAGATCTATTTAAAAAAATATTCCAAATCAGTTCTGAATACCCTTACTGTTTCAAAGATCAGTTGCCCTATGACTAGATGGCTGCTGTTCCAGAAGTGCAGATAGAAAGGCATCTCAGGTACACTATAC